ACCTGGATTTGAGTCCAAGCTTCAAGTAAAATAGTTATTTAACCTTTTTTTCCTTCTTTTTTTTTGAGTTGGAGTCTTATTCTGTCGCCCAGACTAGAGTGCAGGTGGCACACTCACAGCCATCCCAACGTTGACCTGCTGGGCACTGGCACTCACCTCAGCCTTCCAAGTAGCCGGAACTACAGGAGTGCGCTATCACACCCAGCTAATTTTTGATTTATTGTAGAGATGAGGTCACGCCAAGTTGCCTGGGCTGGTCTCGAACCCGCAGGCTCAGGCAATACACTTACCTAGGTCTCCCAAGTGCTGGGATTACAGGCTGAGCCACCAAGTCTGGCCTAGTTATTTAACTTTTCTAATGCTTCTTTCCTCATGTGGACAAAATATCTTCACAGTGGTATTATCCAGATTAAAGGTGATATAACCTATGTCAAATTCCAGTGTGGGAACACAGTTGGTGCTTAATAAAGGCTAGCAGAATATGTGGAGTACCCTCATACCCTGCCTTGGAAAGTCAGAGCTGCAGAAAACTCACCCTTAAATGACAGTCTCACAAAGCTGCCCTCTCTTGGTCCTACCTGGAAGCTGTCAATCAACATAAACTTGAAGCTTCATTTTTAAATTTAGATGTGACATTTACCACCAGAGGATCTGTGGCAACCCTGGAACTATACTTCTGGTGAGAAATAAAGTGACTTAATACATTGACACCAAAGAAGATTTTTAAGTAATATGTAGAGTAATTCACACTACACAATTATCAATAGTGCTGACTTTTTTTTTTTTTTTTTGCTTTTGAACTGAATTTTAAATTTAGGGTAAAATGTGAACCTTTGAAAAAATTTACACTAACAAAATACTTTTAGGATACATGGTCAGAATTTTTAAAAAGTTGATGATCAAGACATTTGCAGCTATTGGATGGGACACAATAGTGGGCCTATGTCTGTGGCTATGGAGATCATTTCAAATTTTCAACGGTGGTGACTCATACCTTCATGAATTGGTTAAAATTAAATTACATCTACATAAATGATATCTTGCCCGCCCTTCTGATATATGAGTAAATCACTTTGTAGAATGTAACTCTGTCTCCTTGGTCCGAAAGTCATCAGGCTAGGTGTGGTCAGGAGACCCTGCCTGGTAGGAACAGTGCTGTGTCTTCCAACTGACCTCCCCCTGACGCCCTCCAGGCTGCTTTCTCCGGGTGAGAGGGAGGTCAAGCCTCCCTCTCCTTCTAGGGACCAGTTCCACTTTGCCTGCTGTATGTGGCACCTCAAATTTAACTGAAATAAAGTGTTCTCTGGCTTAAAAAAGCAAAGTTTCGCAACCACTGGTGTGGTGGGAAGAAGACACTAGGCTAGGACTCAGAAGGCGAACTGTACTATCTGTCTCAGCAAGCTCACCCCTGTCTTCACCATCATCCTGTCTCCAGCAGCTAGACGAATCTTGGCATATGGGGACACTCAATGAATATTTCTTGGCTAGCTGATGAATATTGTATCTGTGTTACTCCCAAACTGATGTGACTATGGATAGGCCACTTAGTCTCCTCAAGACACCATGTTCATTTATTTAATTATGTGTTTGTTTGTGTGTTTATTTTTAGAAATGGGATCTCGCTATGTTGCCCAGGCTGGCTTCAAATTCCTGGGCTCAAGCGATCCTCACACCACAGGTGTGACCACAGGTGTGCACCACGACACCCAGCAAGATTTTATGTTCTTTTGAACTATGTGCAGAATGGTTCATCCATAATGGTAAACATGTATGGAACATTTATGATCAAATCAGGCATTCTTTTAAACTTTCAGCATCCAATGAGGTAAGTATAGTTGTTAACATTCCCATTATACAGATGAGGGAACTAAGCCCAGAGAGTTTAAGCAGTTTGTCTCATGTTAATCATCGACATACAAACCCAGACAGATTGGCTCCACAGGTCACACTCTTATCCACTATTAAATTCTACCTGTGTTTAGGCCCAGGTTAAATTGGGATATAGTGAGTGGTAGAGGTGGGCAGCACATCATATCCCTGGCATCTATTTCTATTAGTTTATTTACACAGGAGTTGAGAAGGCTTCTGGGGAGTGTGCAGAGCTTGGAATTCTGGCCACGCCTGAGGTTGCATCAGGATGTCCAATGGACTCTGGTTGCAGAGGTAGGTGGTGGAGAATTCATAGGAAAAAAAAAAAAGAGTCTTCCAGAAAGTTTTAGAATTAGGCCCTAAGATTGGAAGGGAGAAGGTCAATGAAAATAGCACGACATGTGGTCTTGAACCCCCTCGATACAGCTGCGGGGGAGACACAGAAGGAGAAAGGAATCCCCATGGATTACAAGAGTCATCTCACTCAATTCTCTCACGCTTTGGGACTCAAACAACCTGAACAGTCTTCAACTGAGGTTACTACAGAGGAAGGAAACATTCTTCTCACTTAAGGAAGAGTTCGTAAACTGCCACAGCCCTATGGGTACCAAGAGCTTCGGTGGCCAGAGTGGACAGGATATTTGCACTTCTGGTAAGCAGCACATGGCTGTGGGCCTGGCTTAGAAGCACTGGAAACACACCCGTGGAAGGCTCCCAGAAACACTTGGGTGTAGGGAGTACTGGGATTTCTGCAAGTGCTTTTGGGGCTTGGAACTAATGGGGTTCAAATGTTCATAGGAAAATGACCTTCATATCCTCGGCCTGGTGGGCTTGAGGGGACAGACATGTGGATTATACAAGCAGGGGGAGCAATAAGTGCTTCATCCATCTCATGGAAGTGAGCACCACAGCAGAAATAGAAAATCAATGTGTTTTGCGAGTTGAAGAACCCCGTCAGGTGAAATGGAGATGGTGTGAAAGGGAAGGCAAGAGATTTCACCTGAATCATCTTCTGCATTAGTTGTTCTTCATCTTTTTGGATCATAGACTCTTTTAAGAATTCAACATAGGCTATACACTCTTAACCCAGAAAAGTGCTCCTCCTGCCCTTCTCAAAACCCACACCACTTTTTGCCTACTCAAGGATGTTTCTTGTTATCCCACCTGAAGTCTTAGCTTTCAGGTTAAGGACCCCTGATTTCCATTAACATTGACCACTACAACCACATCCACATCCTGGTATTTTTCTTTTTTTTTTTTTTGAGTCGGAGTCTCACTCTGTCGCCCAGACTGGAGTGCAGTGGCCGCTTCTGGCCACCGCAGCCTCGACCTGCTGGGTTCCAGCGATCCTTCCGCCTCAGCCTTCCAAGTAGCCGGAATTACAGGCATGTGCTACCACGCCCAGCTGATTTTTTGATTTATTGTAGAGATGAGGTCTCACTGCCCAGGCGGGTCTCGAACCCGCGGGCTCAGGCGATCCACTCACCTCAGCCTCCCAAAGGCGCGGGATTACAGGCTGAGCCACCGAGCCCGGCTCATCCTGGTATTTTTCTTTATGGAACAGAAGCTTGTTCAAAATAGCACTGTCAGTAATGTGATCCCCCTTCCTCAGTGTGGTTCCCTTGTCTTTTGCCCACAGCTCTGGCTCCTATGCTCATAATCAACCTCTTGTTCATGGCCGAGCCCCATGACATTTACTTGATGCAACTCAAAATTAAAACCTCAAGATAAGTATCGGCCTTCCTTGTGTGCCATCAGGCCTTCTAGATTCTATTGGAAAGGACACCGGGACAGCAGCCCCGTCTGGGAAGAACACTGGGTCAGGAGTTAGGAATTCTGATAAATGATATGAACTTAGGCAAATCATTTAACCTGAGGTCTGTCTCCTCATCTGTAAAGTAGGATAATAATAATTGCCTGTTTTTCAGGGTTTTTGTGAGGTCAAATGAAAGAATGCCTGAAAAAATGCTTTGAAAACAGAAAAGTGCTGTAGGGATATGCATTCTTATTATTGCAAAGTCACCCTAGAAGTCAAGCAAGTGTCTTTTTGGAATGTTATTTGATCTGAAGTGAAGAACTCTGGTTGTAAGGCACCACTAGTCATGACAAAGGGAGAAGGGAGGAGGGCCTCTTAGGATCAGTCTCCAAGTCCCAATTTTGGCTTGATACCCCATTCCCCAGGCAAAGGCACAAACCCAGGACATGAACATCTTTCTCAAGACAGACTATCTCATTTGAATTTTCTTCCTAAAAGGTTTGGAGCCCAGCTTGCTATTACACATACAGGGTGATAGCCCCACGCCTTCCCCATGTAGCAGTCATTCCCCAACTCTTGAAATAGATAAGGTATAAAGTTATATTTGATAAGCTCGGGCAGTTCTAGGAAGGAAATGATCACAGCAGGTCTGGAAGTCTTTTGAATAACACATGCTTCCGCCCTTGATCACACTGGTTTTCTAAAAGCCATTCCGCTTGTGCCCAAAAAACTGCCTTAACGGTCCATTGTTAGAGTTTAATGGATACAGGTCACGTATGGGCATGAACTTCGACACTTTAGCATTCACCAAGGGAAGCAGCTGCTACCATAGTGCTTGGCAGGAGCAGCCTGGAAGGTGGGAGATGCCATGTGGGTCGGAACCGTGTGTAGGGCTCATCTTGGCTGCTCAGAATAGTCCCTAGCAGCCAATGCCTTTTTTAAAAAATTTTTGAGTCAGGGTCTCACTCTGTTGCCCAGGCTAAAGTGCGGTAACATGATCACAACAACCACAGCTCATGGCAGCCTGGACCTCTTGGGCTCAGGCGATCCTTTCACCTCTCTCCTGCCTTTTGAATATTTGGACCAGCAAAGAGCAGGTGAAAGTGGACACACTTAACCTCCTCTTGGCTTTAAAACCTTCACTTTTGAATTCTTTTGCTTTACATCATCTATAATCTTTTGAGAACAACCAAAAAATCCTAAACATGAAAGCTTATGCATGAAAGAATGAGGTATATTTTAAATGATCTAAATACTTTTGCAATCAGGTTTACAAACCAAAGATTAATGTGTCCTGTTCCTACTAAACATCTGGGAAGGATTTTTTTTTTCTTTAACAGTAAAGAGTAAAACACAATAATGACAAAAATTATACCGTCTAGGAGGGTCCCAAAGTGCAGAACTTGCAAGTATTCCTTCTCCCGCATAAAGCCTTTGAGGGGAGTGGCCCAGCCTTCGCTCAAAACCTGGACCCACTGGAGATCCAACTGCAAAACACGAAAAACAAACAAGCATTTCCATAAATGTTCTGTTTTTCAGGCATCTGGTCCTAGTCCGTCCTTCCTTCCTTTTTTTTTTTTGGTCCAAGCCTCACTCTGTTGCCCAGGCTGGAGTGCAGTGGCATGATCATAGCTTACCACAACCTCAACCTTCTGTGCTCAGGTGATCCTTCTGCCTCAGCCTCCCAAGTAGCTGGGACTACAGGTACATACCACCATGCCCGGCTAATTTTTTAAATTTTTCTGTAGAGATGAGGTCTCACTGTATTTCTCAGGCTGCCCAGACCTTTCTTATTCAGTTGACAGGAGGGTGACAGCAGAAACTTTTATGTTTTAAATGTTCCCACGTTTTGTTGACTAGTGATCTAAGGCCAAATTGCTTTTAGCCTAGAACTTTCCTATGGAAGAGTGGTGAAAAGACTTCAAATTGAGATGATTTATTTTAACACTTTAGGCTGTATCTATTCCCATAATGGGCAACTGGATTGTAAAGTCATTATTTATTCTTTCCTTCTATTTTTTCATTCCTTTTGAGTCAAGGTCTCACTTGTCATCCTGGCTGTTGTACAGTGGCACAGTCATGGCTCACTACAGCCTCAAACTCCTGGGCTCAGGTGATCATCCCATCTCCACCTCCCAAGTAGCTGGAACTACAGGTGTGTGCCACCACACCTAGCTAATTCTTTAATATTTTTTGTAGAGATGAGGTCTTATTATGTTGCCCAGGCTGGTCTCGAACTCCTGGGCCCAAGAAATTCTCGGGCCTCAGCCTCCCAACGTCCTGTGATTACAAGCATGAGCCACTATGTCTGGCCTCTTTCCTTCTTTTTGGAACAGAAATTCTGGTTTGGCTATATTTTTCCACCAAACGTACTTACTGCCCATTTAACCAAATTGGGCAAACCACTGACTCTAAGATAAAGTACAAAATTATTAGTGTGATACTGAATACCCTTCAAGCTCGGGCCCCTGGACCTCATATAGGAACTTTTACCTCCCCAACTGCAGGCCTGTTTGCAAACAGTGCCAGGCAATGTGTAGTCTAAACACTCATGTGCTTTCAGGGGCTTGTGTTTTACCCATCCTTCTCACCACCCCAAACTCCTATTCATCCTTTAAAACCCAGCTCATGAGTCATGGTTCAGAAACCTTTCCTGTCACCCCTATGACTAACAGAATTAATCACTGGGTTCTCTGAACTTCTGTACCTTGCAGATTATTCTGTTATTGGAACCGTCACAACACACTATCATTATAATTATGTGTTTACTCAACTGCCTGAAGTGTTAGGTGCTCAGGATTTATTTCACAGAGTCTGTTCTGTTAAAAAATTGATCGTGACTTATAAAAGGATGGGGAATTCATGAACTGAAGCAAGTTCCCTATTTACCCTGGCTTGCATAAAGTCTCCACAAATGAAATTGACAATAAAGAGATACCAATAAAGACTCGATCACCTGTGAAGACCAACTAACACTGACCCATTAAAAGGCCATGTGCAGGGTAGTTTGCTGGGTTGTACCTTATGTCTTCCAGGAAGTAAAATCAATGCAGACAAAATTGTCTCCCTCTCTCCTCAGACCGGACTCTCCCTGATGAAGAGTGTCATTTGCAGAGGAGAAAAGACTGTGGCATTTATATCACTTCAGAGCGGGCTTCCTTTTTGTTGTCTTCAAATTCCTTCTCCATTTCCCAAGAAGCCTTTGGATCCTGGACAAACAGTTTTCTCAACCTCTGCCAACAAACAGTGCCTGGCCTGATGTTTGCTCTTTGGCATAATGGAAGGTATAATGAACACTGTGTAAAACTGTCCTACGCACACCTAGGAGTTCCCTTGCCAGTCACTTCCATACATGGCATTGATCAGCTGCCTTGTGGCAACTCTTGGTGAGAGACTGCTTGGAGAAGAAGGAAAAAAAATTGGCAAAAAGGAAGTGTTTATCTTCATAGACATTACGTGTACCTTCTTCCTACCCTCCTTATTGTTAAGAGAAATTGTAAATGGATTCTAAGGCCTAATCTGAAGTCCGATTCTCCTTTGGCCAGTCTGCTCCCACTTACTTTAGTTATTGATAAGGAAGGAAGAGTTTCAGCCTCGGCTCGAACTTGGTCAAGCTTGTTTTCTGGCACAAAGAGTTCGTGGAGGCCTTTGATGATAGTGTGGGGAACGATGTTCTGAAACGAAACAGAATTAGTAACAACTTGAAACGAAGCCTGTACAAACAATGCATCAGTAAAGAAGCATAGATTATCTTTCACGACTTTATTTTTTGAAAAAGAAAGACAGCCAGTTCACCCACCTGTTCTTGCAGTAGTTCCACTACCTGCTGAACACAGTCACTCACGGTGGACAAATTGGTCTTAAGCACACACTCAGGAGTTTCTGGTTTCTCATAATCAGAATCAATGCCTGTGAATCCTGCAAGGCATAGGGTAAAAATCACATCTGTAGAGGCAGAAGAGTCTTTTTGTGTTTGTTTATTTATTGACTTATTGATTGATTTTATTTATTGACTTATTGATTGATTTACTTATTTATTTATTGATTGATTGCGTCTGGGTCTCACTCTGGTCTTACTCTGTCACCCAGGCATAGGGTCTCACTTAGTCACCTAAGGCATAGGGTGAAAATCACATCTGTACAGGCAGAAGAGTCTTTTTTGTTCGTTTGTTTGTTTATTTACTTATTGATTGATTTACTCATTTACTTATTGATTGATTGACAGAGTCTGGGTCCCACTCTGTCACCCAGGCTAAAGTGCGGTGGCACGATCACAGCTCATTGCAGCCTTGACCTCCTGGACTCAGGCAACCCTTCCACCTCTGTCTCCCAAGTAGCTGAGACTACAGAAGCGTGCCACTATGCCTGGCTAATTTTTTTATTTTTTGTAGAGACAAGGTCTCACTATGTTGCCCAGGGAGGTCTTGAACTCCAGGGCTCAAGCAATCCTACTGCCTTGGCCTCCCTAAGTGTTGGGATGACAGGGGTGAGTCACCACACCTGGCAATCTTTTTAATCAATAAGACACAACATATATTGAAATAATGTGTTAAACTGAGAATTCAGATTAAAACAGAAAAGGTAAACAGCCATCTTTGACCACCTGTCAGAGGTAAGAAAATATACAGCTGTATTTTCAATAGGGAGAGCCCAAAATTATCAACAAAATCCAGCTAGCTAAAGCTAAGCCTTCTACAGCTATTAAATAAAAAAGGAACACAAGGGTAAACTCTGAACCACTCCCCTACAAACACACACATATTCATATCTGTTTCAGTTCTCTGAACTTTATTGCTTGTGGCTGAGGTGACAGTTCTTAAAAAATAACACCTCATATTTTAATAAGTTCATGAACATATTGAATTCATCATAATTCGGTAAAAAGTCGAGTGGGCTATATGCAATTTTAGAAAACAGAATTTGAAACTCAGACTTCTGAGGACAGAATGAGGAACCCTAGTCCAAGGAACTGGCAAAGGGGCCGCCAGCTGGTTCTCATACCTTTAATCTCCCCAGCTCTGGCCCGTTTGTAGAGGCCTTTTACATCTCTGCTTTCACAAATATTTAGAGGCGCATCCACAAATATTTCAAAGAACGGCAGTCCTGCTGATTCATGGATTTTGCGGGCATTCTCACGATCCTGAAAAACAAAACATTTAAGAATGTGAGCCGGTCTCGGTGGCTCAGCTGTAATCCTGCGCCTTTGGGAGGCTGAGGTGAGTGGATTGCCTGAGCCCGCGGGTTTGAGACCCCCTGGGCAGCGAGACCTCATCTCTACAATAAATCAAGAAATCAGCCAGGCATGGTAGCGCATGCCTGTAATTCCGGCTACTTGGAAGGCTGAGGCGGAAGAATCGCCGGAGCCCAGCAGGTCGAGGCTTCAGTGGCCGGGAGCACTCCAGTCTGGGTGACAGAGTGAGACTCCGACTCAAAAAAAAAAACAAAGAATGTGAGAAGAGGTTTCACGATGAAATTCTAAATCACAAAACACTGTGTGCTTTGGCATTTTTAAAAATTTCTATTATAAAGATGTGGGGTACAATTCAGGGTTAGGTATACAAACATTGATCATGCAGGTATCCCTGCTAATGAGGTATGCCCCTCCCTCCCCTAGCAGTTTCCCTCAACTGCCAACCCCCCCCAAATGCTTGGGCATTTGACAGCCTGGTGATAACACTGGGATTTGTGCTCTGCAGGGTCCTCTAGAGAAAGTCCAGAAATCTTTCTCTGGTAAACACAGCTCTTGCAAGAACTTTCAGAGAAAACCATGGAAACCAGCCTCTCTCTTAGCTGGGCAGGGGAGTTTTTCACTCAAGGGATGGGCTCAAAGCACTTATCATAGAATGTGCAATTCAGAAATTTTCTGTTTTAAAAGAATAGTGACACTCCATCTCAGTGATGTCAACATTAAACACACACAACCTAATGCTTCAACAGTGGACGGCTCTTTTCTTTAGCAAGCTAAACATTCTCTTTCAGATAACTAAAATTACAGAGCTTTAGAGTTATTCAACTTTTTCTTCCTTTTAACTCTGACCACATTTTCAAATTTTGAAATAACTAGAGTCTCACTCTGTCACCCAGGCTGGAGTGCAGTGGCCGCACCCAGCCACCGCAGCCTCGACCTGCTGGGCTCCGGCGATCCTTTCGCCTCAGCCTTCCAAGTAGCTGGAATTACAGGCACGCACTACCATGCCTGGATAATTTTTCTGATTTATTGTAGAGATGAGGTCTCACCAACTTGCTCAGGCAGGTCTCGAACCCACAGGCTCAGGCAATCCACTCACCTCAGCCTCCCAAGGCGTGGGATTACAGGCTGAGCCACTGAACCCAGCTTGTTTGTTTTTAAGTCAAGGTCTCTGTTGCCCAGGCTGGAGTGCAGTGGCACAATCGTGGCTCACTGCATCCTTCACCTCCTGAGCTCAGGCGATCCTTCCGCCTCAGTGTCCCAAATAGTCCTGACACTACAGGTGTGTGCCACCACATCTGGCTAATTTTTGAATTTTTGTAGAGACAAAAATTGCCTAGGCTGGTTTTGAACTTCTGGGTTCAAGCAATCTTCTCACCTCGGCCTCCCAAAGTGCTGGGATTACAGGTGTGAGCCACAGCATCAGCCAGATTAAAGCCTTTCAGAGAAAGTGGGTTCATAAATAGGTAGATCTGGGGGCTCCATGCGGTCCTTGGTGTGTTCTGTTTGACTTGGACAATGTTTTATTTTTATTTTTTAATTTTTCTCTGCTTGGCTGGGCTCAGCGGCTCAGTTTGTAATCCCAGCACTTTGGGAGGCCGAGGCGAGTGGATTGCCTGAGCCCACGGGTTCGAGACCCACCTGGACAACTTGGCAAGAACTCATCTCTACAATAAATAAAAAATTAGCTGGGCGTGGTAGCACGCACCTGTAGTTCTGACTACTTGTAAGGCTGAGGTGGAAGGATTGCCAGAGCCCAGCAGGCTGAGGCTGCGGTGGCTGGGAGCATGCCACTGCACTCCAGTCGGGGCGATGGAGTGAGACTCCAACTAAAAAAAAAATTTTTTTTCTCTACTCCTCAGACATACTTTATCATCACTTAAAGTCAGTCACAGAACTGGACAAAGGTTTCATCACTGAGTGTTTTAAAGATTAAAAAGTTTTGCATATAAATCCAAATTCCTTATCATTGTGAATGTGCAAAAGTTTATGTCCATGGTTTATGGCATCTGGAAAATAAGAGACTCTGTAACTAACCAAAATTAAATAGAGGAAAGAGAGGGCACATGAGGGGAGGAAAAAAAAGCAGGGAAATTGAAAGGGGACATCCTTGTGGCCTCTCCCATCACCGGACTTCTTCCCTTGTTTGAGAACCCTTGCACTGTGCGTGGGAATTGTGGGCAGTGCCAAACCTCACCTTTGCAAATGGAGAAATGAAGCTGGTGATGCAGACGAGGCCAGCGTCGGCAAACAGCTTGGCCACCTCGGCAATCCGTCGGATATTTTCTTCTCTGTCCCCAGGAGAGAATCCGAGGTTCTTGTTAAGGCCGTGGCGGACATTGTCCCCATCCAGGGAGTAACAAGGGATGGCGTGGGAGACGAGGTACTCTTCTAGAGCAAAACTGATCGTGGTTTTTCCAGCACCAGAGAGACCTGTTCAAAACAGGTAAGACAGACTGACATTGTCCCGTGTGGTTTAAGATGGCAAGTGGTGAGTGAATTTGGCACTTTTAAGTGGGCCTAGATACCCATTACAGTCATCTGACCTCAAATCAAAACTATTAACATCTAGAAAAAGCGTCGTTGAGTATGAGACAAGTTCTTGCATTTCTTTCAAATTTTGAAATAACTCTTTGTCCCCTATTAGGATCAGAGTCTTTCAGAGGAAGCAGGCTCATAAATGGGGAGAACTGGGAGCTCCATGCAGTCCTTGGTGTGTTCTGTTTGGCCTGCAGTGTTTTATTTTATTTTTTTTAATTTTCCTTTTCTCCTCAGACATACTTTCTCGTCACTTAAAATCAGTAGCAGAACTGGACAGAGTTTTCATCACTGAGTGTTTTAAAGATGAGAACGTTTTGCATTCCAGCTTTTTTTGAAAAATCAAAAGATGAGGTGGCAGTTGTCTCATTTCCCCTCCTAAGGTGAGAGTCAGCTGGTGTGGAAGACAGCCAGTCCCTGGAGACTGGCAAGCTCACCTCCCTGGTGGATGCCACTGAACAACTATCTGACAACACAGCCCACATGCTGTCCTTTTGGCGTCAAGATTTTTCCAAAATGACTCTTAAAACACAAAGACAGACTGGGCACGGTGGCTCATGCTTGTAATTCCAGCACTTAGATAGGTTGAGGAGTGAGGTTTGCTTGAGCCCAGGAGTTTAAGACCAACCTTGGCAACATAGCAAGACCTTGTCTCTGTGCCGGCATGCCATTGATGCAGGAATAGCCACATCTACACAAAATCAAAAAAGTAGCTGGACTTGGCAGCCTGCGCCTAGAGTCCCTGCTACTTGGGAGGCTGAGGCAGAAAGATCACCTGAACCCAGGAGGTTGAGACCGTAGTGAGCCGTGATCACGCCACTGCACTTCAGGTGAGCAACAGAGTGAGACTCTGACTCAAAAAACCAAACAAACAAACAAACAAAGTCAACAAGCCACCAGACAGAAAGTCACCCTGAGCTCGGCTGTATGTATTTAGAGCTGCCATATATCACTCTTAAGCCTAAAGACTCTTTAGAACATGTAAGGCATATAATATGTTAATTTCCATGAAATTGTCTCGCATATCAACTTGCAATTAAAAAGACATATACCTGTTTCAGCGTGCTATACCTGTTAGCCACACGGTACATCCTCGGAACCCGCCCCTTGTTCCAACCACCTGTCCCCTCTTGTTCCTGCTCACGTGGTGGGCTTGATAAACTACGTTGGTGGATTTTTGCTGGTCCTAAAAATAAGACAAGAACAAGGACGATATTTGATGAATGAAGCATGCATTCTTCACTGGAACAACATATTCATTTAACTTATTAACTGAAAGGCTGATCTATGTACAACTTATATAAAAGATACTTTGAAAAAGACCTGCCCTTACCCCTCCTAATAGTTGTTTTCATTTCTGCAGATTAGCTGGAGGCATGAGCTACATGCATATATCTTTCCTAGCTGTGAGTATATATACCTACCTTACTCTTTCTACTCTTTTCACTTAAATGTTATTCATAAACACTTTTGTTTTCAAGAAATAATTACTTAAAAATCACTGCATAGGCTGGGCGCAGTGGCTTAGCCTGTAACCCCAGCACTTTGGGAGACCGAGGCGAGAGGACCGCCTGAGCCTGGGGGTTCAAAACCAGCCTGGGCAACTTGGTGAGATCTCTTCTCTACAATAAATCACAAAAAAACTAGCCGGGAGTGGTGGCATGCATCTCTAGTTCCAGCTACTTGGAAGGCTGAGGAGGAAGGATCCAGCAGGTCGAGGTTGCAGTGAGAGTGAGACTCCAACTCAGAAAAAAAATCACTGCATAATATTTCACTGTTTCATACAACACAATCTGCTAAATAACTAATACCATTATAATGCAATAACAGATCACATTAATAACTTTCCCCAAGTGAATCGCCTCTTCTATAATTGGCACACAGTAACATTTATTAATTCTACTAATTTAGAAACAAACATTGCCTTTGGAATACCCGTCACAATCCTTTGATATTATATGGTAGTTCTGGTACCATGACATTTAAAAAATTTGCGCCTTAAGTAACCGTTAGGAAAATGTCTGTTTCTTTCTTTTTCTTAGTCAGAGTGTCACTCTGTCACCCAGGCTGAAGTGCAGTGGCACACTCAGGACCACCACAGCCTCGAATGCTGGGTTCAGGCAATCCTTCTGCCTCAGCCTTCCAAGTAGGGAACTACAGGCTCATGCCACTATGCCCAGCTAAATTTTTTGATTTATTGTAGAGCTGAGGTCTCACCAAGTTGCCCAGGCTGGTCTCAAACCCCTGGTCTCTGGCAATCCTCTCACCTCAGCCTCCCAAAGTTCTGGGATTACAGGCTTGAGCCAAAGCACCTGGCCTGGGAAATGTCTGTTTCTGTAAATGCATGTTCTTCCCAAGTCCTGTGGGCTTGAACTGAGTATCACCCACACACTCCAGCAGCTGAGGAGACATGAGAGTGAGGTGGGTGGGGTCCCAGTCCCTACTGAGTCAGGCAGAGGCCCAGACCACAGTGTAAAGGGTTAAAGTCAGGGTTAAAGTCAGACATCGGCAACAAGGCAAGGGTTCCTGAGCACACAGGGCTACTTCTTCACAAGAACTAAACTTTCCTTCCTCTTTCCCAAGGGTCAGTGTATGAACTTCCAAAAAGACTAGAAGCGGAAATGTACCCGTTATTAGGTTTGGAGGCAAACTCAGAGATCAAATGTCTTTATTTTGACTGTAATAAAATCAACCTAGTGAGGAAACAGATGAACCAATCCCAATTCTAAACTCTGACTGGGAGATATATGTCTGCTGAATAAAAAAAGTAAAGTAAGCCAATAAATACAGTTTTTGGTGGACTTTTTTTTTAACGAGCATGTGATCCAAGGGGGAAAAAATAGCCTATAATGATGGTTAAATTAAAAGATTGGGAACTACTCATATATGTCTGTGGTATGGTAATTAAATTTCTAATGCCAGATGTAAGCCAGATTTCGGAACTGTAAAAACCTATGAGCCTTTTAAACACCACACATGAATACCCACCAGAGTTAAGAAAGCCCCGGTATTTTTTGAGTAAGACTTAGAATATCTTAGGAAACGCTGAGCTACACATTTATATTCTGGAGCAAATCAAATAACCTCTTTTTGCTGCCTCCTTTAGGAAAAATTTAAAAACAAAAACAAAAAACAAGAGACCTACCAGTAGGACTGTTTGGAGGTTCACATGAAATATGGATATGAATATACCCTATCAATGGCAAAGTTCTCTACAAATATGGACACCAACAATTATTATTCATGGTAGGACCCCTCTTCCACCCCCCGCCCCAGCCAGAGGCTGGAGCTTGCTAGATTAGAACCAGGTAAAAGGACTTCAAGACTTATGGAGCCTTATTGGTCCTTTGATGTCAAATGAGGAAAGCCCCAATCGCAACTTCAAATAAATGTGTTTAGGGATGAACATATGAATTATTGTATTCCTTAGAGCTGACAGGGGATGTCATAATCAACTTGCCCCATCCTTTCCTGCCTGGTCCTTTGATGGAGGGATGTAAGAAAGAGCACACAGGGGGAGAAAAGGGGTATGGAGGGGAAGCCTTCTGGTGAGGCAGAATCCAACTAGGGGCCAGTCAGCAGGGAACAAGGATTATTAGTGTCAGAGGGGCCAGGAGGAAAGTGGAGGGGCCAGGAGGAAGGTGGTGGGGCCAAGAGGAAGGCACAGTGGGATCAGCTGGGTGAAGTTACCTAAACCCTCCAAAGCTAGTTGTTCTGATGATCCATCACACAAACCTCGTCAGAATCCAAGATGTAGAAGGAATTGGGACATAGTCCCAGAATGTGGCAGGACAGACAACCGTGATGGCTTGCACTAGAGGGTTCACAAACAGGGACATATTAGGGTACAACATGAGATAGTCTAGCAGTATTTCCCCTGGGTGAGGAAATCCCCTGAAGGTATTCTGTATCCTTTGTGTCAAGTGTACTTTATAGCTCAAGAATGACCTTTAAATTTCCTTTAAAAAATGTCCTTGTTAATTAATGCCACTAAGTTCAAGAACTTTGTGTCTAAACATCAAACCCCAACGTCAGTTCACCTGTTCATTCATGGATTCTTTGAGCAAACATTTATTGAACTCCTACCACGTGCTAGGGGCAATCCTGAGCACTGGAAATTTAGTACTAAGCAAAGTGTAATCCCTGGATACACTAAGAACAGCAGATATATAAAGAGGGCCTGCAGCTCAGTAAAAAGACGACCCATTTTTTTTTTAACGGGCAAAAGATTTGAACAGACACTTCACAAAGGAAGATATTCATGTGGTCAATTAAAGAACCACAAAGTGCTCACTGTCATTAGTCATCAGAAGCATGCAAATTAAACACAAAATGAGAGACTACTGATAACATCTAATGGCAGCAAGAATGTGTACTTTATTTTGAAGGTGAAGTGTAAAGTGATACAATCATCCTGGAACAAAACCTGGGTTTACATTTACCTTCCGCGTGACTCAGCAATTCTATTCATAGGTAACTGCTCAAGAGAAATGAAAACATGTATCCACAAAAAGACTTCTACAAGAATGTTCTTAGCAACTTTATTTGACTCCAAACTGGAAATAGCCACGTGTTCATCAACAGGAAAATAGATATTTAAAAAATTCAAAAAGAAGCCCAACCTAAAGTGTAGAATACTCATATATTGGAATACTTTTCAGGAATCAAAAACAATGGACTATAGATGTATGGATGATAATGAATGGAAAACATTATGCTGAGTCAATTATGCTATAAGAAGCCTTACAGAAATAACTACACATGATTGATTCCATCTGTATGAAGTTCCAAACAGAAAAAAGCCAATCTACTAAGAACAGCAGTTGCTTCTGGGGCGAAGGCAATGCTTTATGTCTTGATAAGAGTTTGGGGGGCATCTGTGTTTATATTTGTTGGAACTCACTGAATGTAAACTTAAGATGTGTATTTCATTATATGTAAACTTTACCCGCCCCCATGCACCTCCAACACCCAAAAAGTCACTTTTAAAAAAAGTAAGTAAACAAGAAAACATATAAAATTTCAGGCTGGGCACAGTGGCTCATGCCTATAATCCCAGCACTTTGGGAGGCTGAGGTGAGAGGATGGCTTGAGCCCAGGAGAACCAGCCTGGGCAACATAGAGAGACCTTGTCTCTACAAAAAGAATAAAATAAATTAGCTGGGAATGGTGACACGCGCCTGTCATCACAGCTACTCAGGAGACTGAGGCGGAAAGATCATGTGAGCCCAGGAGAGAGAAGTCAAGGCTGCACGAGCCGTGATTCTGCCACTGCACTCCAGCCTGAGCAACAGAGTGAGACCCAGACTCAAAAAAAAAAATTCAGATGGGGGAATTACATTGGTCAACACTGCTGCATTTCTGGAGAAGGACTCTGATCCCAATCACAGCATATTAGATGAAGGTGCTGTTGCCACTAGTGCACACAAACACCCATAAACACTTAATTTGTCTGCAGAAACGGGATCTCTCTCTCTCTCTCTCTCTCCCTTTCTCTCTCTCTCTCAGCAGTTTCTTCTCCATAAAGTCAGTGATCCAGAATAAAGTCCATGCTCTGTTAATCTTCTGTGGAAGCTTTGTTGTGGTCTTAATTGCCTCCTCAACAAGTTCTTCATGTTCAAAAACACTTCAGAATTCATCAGAAGGAACTGCCCTAACGTAGTATTTGATCTCTGAACTTTTGGTCTTTATTAGCTGCATTTTAACCATGGGTTTTTGTACAAATCTTCTATCACCCTAGCAATGTTTAAACGAATAAATATTTTCAGATGGCCAGGTACTGGGCTCTTTCAGTTCAGCCAGATATTTTGGCTTCTTATTTATGTCAAGTCACCCTTGATGTTTTGCAAAAGGCAAACAAATAAAATGGAAGCAGATGTTTGGATGATATTTGAACTGCAAGGGACGGGGTAGCCCAAAATGTTTCTTTTCCTTGCTGAAAGCTTTACATTCCTCTAAAGAGCATATGGTGTCCTAAGCTCTGGAAAGTGGCTTTCAGAAAAAGGCTTCTCTATAGAAAACAAAACACATGTGCAAGGAAAAAAATGCCTGTCTCCTTGTGTGTACAGAGAGAGCACACAGCTATCCTCTGTCCCTTGTCTAACACTGTCCCTTAGCAGAAAGTGGCCCAGAAATCACAAAGTTGGTGGTATACTTTGATACCGAATCTGTAAGAAAAATTTGCAAAAACCTCCCCTTCTTCCAGGTCCCTAGCCCAGAAAAACTCCCTCTAGCATGCCTGGGAGTAGCATGAGTATGGACTTTGGAGTCAAGCAAACCTGGATTTTAAACCTGCTTCACAACCTACTTGCTCTGTGACCTGGGACAAGTTATTAACATCTCTGAACCTCCTTCCTCTGTAAAATGGGGATAAGAATACTTTCTTCCTAGGGTTGCTGAAAGGATTAAATAAGATAATTATCTCTGTAGAGTAGCAAGGAAAATAAGAGACACGCACTAGATGTTGAATCAAATGAGTTCTAGGTATCACTTAATCTAGTTTGGAGAAATAACGGCAATGTGAGTTTTTTTTGTTTCTTGTTTTGAGTTGGAGTCTCCCCAGCTGGAGGGAGTGCAGTGGCACACTCACAGCCACCTCACTGTTGACCTGCTGGGTTCCGGTGATCCTTCCGCCTCAGCCTTCCAAGTAGCCAAAACTACAGGCACACCCTACCAAACCTGGCTAATTTTTTATTTTACTGTAGAGATGAGGTCTCGCCGAGGTGCCTGGGCTGGTCTCGAACCCGCGGGCTCAGGCAATCCACTTGCCTTGGCCTCCCAAAGTACTGGGATTACAGGCTG